ACAATATAAGTGTTCAAAATGTCATATGAAACAACTCTTCCTTTCTATTAGAATAGCAAAACACTTCCAAAGTATTCGTGTTTTGTCTGTTAACGAATAAATATTTTTGAGAATTCTAATAATCATAACACACAATAATTATACATAAAATGAGAAAACAACATCATCCAATTACAAGCTATCGAATATGACTACCTACGTATATTTTATTTCTATGAGATAATTGATCAATTATATTTTATGCCTATAAAACAAATGATCGATTACTCACATTTATTTTTCCTATCTAAAATAATTATAAGCAATTAGCGTTACATACATGAATAACAACAAAAATAATTATTTTCACATCGGCTTAATTGCTTGCTTGTTATTTTTAATGAGACAAAATTCAAGCAAAAAAATGAAAACAATCGTTTATGCATCACTGAAGCATATAAAAATGAAAATATAAAAGTGTATGCTCATTACATATTCCTTTAGTTATTGGCTTTTATTTAAATTCAAAACTCGTATACTCGATTACTCTGCTTCGAATTTTATCGTGCTGGGATATTATTTCACGGTATTTATCTCTATATTTTTTGTATTTAGCTTATTCCGTTCAAACCATATCATTCATACTGAGATTTGTTGCTCTATTTAGACGTTCTGTAATTATATGTATAGTTATTGAGATTTTTCTAAGTCAACAGATTTATCTAATGACATTATCTAATATATTTTAACTATAATAAATGCGAACCATGCTTTATAGATTTCCCACTTCATCATCAACCTATCCTACAAGATAGTAGACAGAGTCTATACAAGAAACCAGAAACATGCCATATATTATCACAACCGATTATTATTTTAGCTCTGCTTCAATCGTAAGATATTTTGCACCACTCTCAGCTCAACTAATACTTTGTCTGCTTGGCTATTCAGTCCAAGTCAATTTGGGGTGTGACTAGTTACCCATATGTGCTGCTGTCCCTGTTCAAGCTGATCCTCGTCCTGACTATGTCTTTTATCAACTTTTCTACCCCTTACGACTGGATCCTCAGCAAAACTTGTTCCTCGGTTCCATGTAGTATCAAGCCCGATTATGTATTAACTCAAATTCTATACCCTCTGTGATTTCGTGGGTTGGGAGTAAGTGAGTTCATAGTTAGATGGTGACAATAAGGAGACACACAGCGACACCCGTTAAATCCCTAAACTAATAATATACACTGATTGATTTTTTGAGGAATATTTTGTTTTGAACAGGTCGTTTTGCCATAAAATAAGTTTTCCCATTAGATGTCTGGGAATCCGGTGAATCTCAACTGGGTACTGTTTCCTAGTGTTTTTTTAATATTATGAATTGACTTGACATAGTTGAAGATCTCTATGTGTATAGTGCGAAATAAGATGATGAAAGTATTAGCTAGGATTTCATTTACAAGCAGAAACTATCCAGTTGACTTCTCTTCATCATTCTATTTTCATATAGAAAGTCATTTCAGATTTTCTTTGATTTCAGGACAAAACTCTTTCACCTGGTTCAAATCTATGGCTCACATACACTTAAGACGTTCCCGAACGTAAGTTTTGATAGTCTCTGGTAAACTTTGTCATCATTTACTAATTATATAGGTTTTATGTACTTGGTCTGTTCGCAGTGGCATTATTTGCTGTCGC